CCAGGCGTACGAATTCCTAGGGTATTTGTCACCAGGACTTCAACAGCAGTGACAAGGGCTTCAATTCCCTGATACAAAACCAGAAATGCTYTTACCAGATCTGCTAGACACCTGGATTAAACTGAATTCTCCGATTGCCCAAATATGAGCCACMGTATTCAGGACTGTGAGAGTTTTAGTTTGTTGCTGCGAAACTGCAGTAAAGCCTTGCTCACCACATCATGCTGAGTGCAACCCAGGACTGCAGACATTAAAAACCTTCAGTTCTGGTTGCACTGGGTTTCCTGCAAGCACATGTGTCTCAGGCAAAGAGACAAAACTGACCTTTAGTGGAAGCCTGCTTGGCARGTGGCTTCAATACCTGTCTGGGGAATCCTAATTCTAATGGACCATTTTCATGCAGCACTTCATTTAATAAAGACATTCTCCCCCATGGAGGAGACTTGCTCTGTCTGAAGGACGATCAGAGCAAGGTTTGATGACGATGGATTGCTGGTGATGAAATGAGCTTTTTACTACCACAGTTCYGGATGTTCTTACRGACCTGCTCTTGCTAGCCAGCACAGGAGYGTGTTGGCAGCACATCCTTACAAGCATGCATGATGCYCCCTTGTTCAGGCATCTATACAACSCAGTCACAGCTTCCAGCATTGACTCAGAAACCTGCTTTACTTTATTTTTGTGTTGAACGAGCAACAATGACAACTGGAAACAGAAACATATGAGACAAAGGCTTTTAACATGAGAACACACTGCCCTAAGGCTCTCCTTGCATAGAACTTTTTTCTAGCCCACAGTCTACACCCTTTAGCCCTTAGATTAACACAGCTAGTCACTGATTCACTGTGTGCCACTATTTGCTCATAGCTGAACATACAAATCTGGCATCTCTCAGAAGAGCGACAAAGGAAAATCTAGACTCCTGGGTATTTGGTATGTCTCTAATTCTGGCTGCTGTCATGCCAGGCACTTAGCGTGGATGATGTGCCATGCTCTGAATCCCCACCATCTGCTACTCGTTAGCTGACAAAGGCAGCACATGCCATCTCCCCACTAGCTGCTGCTCATTAGTGACAAAAGCCATTCTGTGTTCACAATGTTCTCTCTGTAATAATCTAATACAAAGATGTACAAAGAGCAAAGGAAAGAGGAAACAGAGATGACAGAGTAAATTATGAGTTTAACTAAGAATATTAGCGCACTCTTAAATCTCAAGATGAGAATCCTTCCAAGAGTGAGATGCAGGTCTTGGCTCCAAAAGAATAGTTCTGCAGGTAGGTATAAAAGTCAACACTAGAGATAATCCATTTACCTCAAAATGTTTTGAAACATGCAAGCACACATTCCTATGCTCTTTCCATTCAGGTTCTCTATAATGGAAAAGTCTGGATCTTCCATACCTGATAACAAAAAGTACTGACAGCAYGCAGCTCCCAACCTGACCAGAGCAAGCACTAACCCCAGGTTATCTATAATKCTTGATATGCAACCAGAGGAGGATTTAGGATCCATGCAATCAATCCCTCCAAGCTTCACAGAAAAGCTCGTTGGTAAAGATTCTGCATTTGTTAAGAAGAGCCTCAGCCTCCTTTATCAATCATCTACAGAGGTGAAAAGCAATAGCAGTAGCAACCCTTCAAAGAAACGTGCATGACAAATACTGGACTACACAGGCTGAGGAACAATCCAGCTGACGAGAACCAGAAGACAGGGAGATGAACTACAACACAGTTCTCCATTGGGAGATACACCGATGATAACAGATTACTCAAATTACAGACAACTGGAAGAACTCAGAAAACATTCACATCGATATGGTAAATTAATCTTTTTCAAGCTCTATTAGTGGCTTGGAGGAAAAAGAGAGGTTGTTCTTCAAGAAGTAATTCTTGTTTACAACTATGAGAAGTCACTGTCTCAGCTTATTCCCTCAATCCCCCTCCCCAGATAAAACCAGGTAACATTTTTCAGTCATCACATCCCCATGACAGAAGACAAGAGTATGAGAAATGTTCTGTGCACTAAACAGTGTAAGACAGCTGGTACAGGAAGTGTTCAGGTCACAGGTAAGGGCACAGAGGAAGCACAAAAGATGACAGATGATATGTGGGTTCTGGCAAGTGTGGGAGATGAAAGGCCACAAAGCAAAGTGACATGGTTAACATGACCATAGAGATGGTCCTGCGGAAGAGGAGATAGAAAAGGGACAAAAGAAAGAGAAAGAAGAGGTAAGATATGAATGGACAATGTGCAGATAATTGTTTTGTATCTTATTTCCTCCTCATACCCAGATTATCACTTTTCCACTTGCTGACCACAAAAAATGAGAACCAAACCTGAGCTCAAATTTTTCCCGTTTAAAGGGGGACAGACAGGATGAGATGCTACAGCAGTGGAATTGATAAAATATTGTTGGTCMTCCACATTCAAGCGTAAGAAAAACCAAAAAAGAAGGACTTTCCACATAACCACGTGTCCATGGCTACTTCCTCATGGGCATGCCAAAACACAGCACACTCATCTTCACAACAGATGAACCCTGKAACCAAGCTCCTACTCACACACAGACATTTTTAAGCAAGGTTAGCACTTTTCAATGTGAAATAGTTACTTGGTGAGGAATCACTGACAAAGCAATTTAAAGTATAGCTGTGAGTAGTAACACACCAGGAACTCAGTCATCCCATGTTGCTAATGCAACTCCTATGGCTTTGTGTTCACCATCAACAGCTCAGCTACTGCAAAGCAAAATCACAGCACAAAACAAAGCACTCTAATTTTGCTGCAAGGTAAGTTTTAGGAAGTAGAGACCTGTTCTGATAGAAGGAAGGTAGCAAAGCTTAGCCTAAAATGATTTTTAAAAAAATTTTGTACCTATAGAGCTGCTTTTCAATGCCTTATCTCTGACCTGGGAACAAATCTAACACCAGATTTGGTCTGTATAAGCCCATCCAACTTTTGATTACTTTACAGTGTAAAAGACTGGTTGGTAACACTACAACATTGGAGATTCAAATGAGCACTATCTCCATTCTGTTTTGCCTTATGTGACCTGTTAACAAAAGGACAGTATAGGATTCAAATCGATTATTCTTCCTGCAATTCTCTTTTCTATGCTAATTTTATATTTGTGAAGGTGATCTGATAGCGGATAGATGTATGGCAAGAGGAAAGAACAGTCTAATTATCTCCATCAATTTGTGTAGGATCAAAAGGATGTTCATCCAGGAAACTGTCAGCCAATTAAGCTGGATAAAAGTAGCTGAAAAAAACCCCAGGAAGGACAGTTCTGCAGCAACTTAAAATTCATAGTTGCAGCATAGCCTACATCACTGAGGTTTATTTGAGTCTGTGGTGACAAGAACAGCTTTTATGAACTGCCATTTTACAGCTATTTATATTTTATTGTCAGTTACTATGTTTATTACTGTCTGTAATTCAACAGACCAAACTGATTTTGGTAAGGAAATTTTTGAACAGAGAGTAACAAAGCATATTTTCCTGTTACTGATTCCTGGGTAAACACTGAGTCCAGAGTTCGTTAAGAAAATCTTCATAAACATAATCTAATTCTATCAAGTGAAACAAAATTTATGCAAGGCAGATGATGACAACATTCTTAGAGACACAGAAACCCCTAGTGTGTATCCTATAAATAAAATGAAGTACCATCATTCAGCTTGTTTTAAGAAGTTGAAACAGCACACCAAAAGTCATGCCAGCAGTCTRTTCAGGAGCCAAGTGATGAGGAACCTGAGTCATACAATTGTTGTCATCAGGAACATCTCACTGAAAGGTACAGATTGAATYTTAGATATTTTTATTCTTGCAAAAGTCCAAACAATATAATTTCTGCTAGGGTTTAAACAGATATGCATAACACTGATCAATCCTTATAACAGGCCTATCCTTAAATGATAATATTTAAGTAGGAAAAAATTAAATTTACCTGTCTGAAACGTTGCAACACAAGCCTCATGTGTTATAAAGACTGCAAAGCACGAGCTATTTCATACAGATAGTTTTAATTCTTTAGAAAGTAAGCAAACCTCACTGGTTTAAAGCAGAACTATATATGGAGATTTACACAGCACTGTTATTAAAGCCCCATTATTTAAAAGGGATGGATTACTGGGGTTAAAGACAAGAAACCAAACTAAAAAAGCAAGAGCATTTAATAACACATGGTATTTCTAGTCAGGTAACTTGAAAGAAGCTATTCTTTTCTTCCTTCTGCCCCATAAGCAAAGCTAATGTTGTTTTGGAAATGTCCTGGGAAAGGTAAGCTTCTTRTAAGTTCAGTTTAAGTGTAATGAAAACCTCTGTGAAGTACACAGGTAAAGAAACCACCATATAGGCTAGAAAGTTTCATGCTAATTAATGGCTGAGTAACAATAACTAAATCCTCATGCTAAGAAAAAGATGAAATCACAGAGGAGAACCAAATCAGACTTTTTTAGCTCTCTGGAAACTAGAAGTTTCATATGAAGGATTAAAACTTAAAAACAGCAATTAGCAAATTAATTTAGCCTATTTTTTAGAAAGTTATCATTAGAGTCACGAATTTTAATCAGAGTTGTGAATTACATTTTGATAGGAGAGAACAAAAATAACAGGATAGAGTCAACAATTTTGAAATGAAAGATTTGATGGTAGTGAATGTCAACTTCTAGCGCTAGACCAGAGGGCTGAAGCAGTACCTGCAGGATCCCTAAAAATCACAGAGCATCACTSTTAGACTGGAAGAATTTTAAGTCAAGTCCATCTCAATTTATCCCTCTGTTCAAGTACAACCCCAAGGGCTGTATTAAAACTGGATATTGAAGAACATTAAAGACCTGAAACAATAAAGCCTGTGTGTTCTTTCCAACAAGATCTAAATTAGGGAAGTGGCAGCAGCTTTGTTCTTCCCTAACACATACTACAAAACATAGCAGCAACACTAGTGAGCCAAGCCCTGTGCTACAAAGCATGGTAAGGTCACAGCAATGGTCACTTACGGCATTCCTTCTCATCACTGTCATCAAAGCAGTCCGGCAGCCCATCACACTGCCAGGTCCCTGGGATACAGCGTCCATTACTGCACATGAAGTTTCCAGGAATGTTGCATTCATTCGTGAAGTTATTCCCAGGCAACAGTTGACTGTCTGCGACAAATGAAAGAGAGGTAAGTTTATTGAGGATCTATTAACAAAGGGAGCAAAGGCTGTCACTGAGCAAGCTGTTTATCAGTGATTGAATAAAGATGAAACAAATAGATCCTGACCCTGGTTATTTTGTCATTATCCTATCAGCATCCCGACTATGGTAATTGGTAGCACTTCCTTTTTCCTACATTCTCATTTTATCTCTTCTCCATTCTCACATTCCATTTTGCAGATTTCCTCTTGCTATTTTCTTTCTAGGTACATGCAGCCTCTACGTATACTCAGGTCAAAGCAATGTTTGCTTAAAAAAAATTTCTCTCTTTTTCACAGGGTCAGCCTAAACAGAATTGAAACAGATGAGGCTACATGCACTCAGCTCTACCCTCCCATGCTTTCGTCAGATTAGTACTTAGTTTGCAGAATACCTTGTTGCTGTTGTAAGCCAAAGGCTACGCACAAGATAACACACTAATTCATACTAGGTATTCAATTAAGTTTTAAACATAGTGCTGCTGATCAAGGTTAGAATTGAGCTTCTTTCTGCTAATACAGTCCCCTGGCATATATCTGTCCACAGGCTAGCTGGCACAATGAGAGTCTGCCAAGTGGAAAGAGCGCAGCAGCAGGAGAYTGGAGATCAAGAGCACAGAGAGAGAAAGAAACCTAGAGATTTGCCTTCAAGGTTAAACACAGTGCTAGTCAGTCGTTTTAATCTACCATTTTTCTCACTTTGTGCATTGTTTTTTGGAAAGCAGATATCACAGAAGCACGAACTTCAGTGATGGAAAGATAATGACACTCAATGCCTTTAATAAGCATCCAAATGGCATGACCTGTMACAGAGCTGGGGGAAAGCTGCAAGACAAGGCAGAGAGTGAGAAAAATAATATTCTTCCCCTTGTCTTCCTGTCACACTCCGGACTAGTCCCAGGCAACATGCCCTTGAGTAGGCAAAATCCCCAAAAATACAAACCTTCACAGGTAAGGATGTAGGTGTCACAAAAAATGTCCCCCCTGCCAACCTGCGTATCTTCAGAGTTTACAAAGCTTAACCGTTTACCTATCATTTCTCTATTTTGAAGATAACCACATTATTTTTGGAACTCTGGAGGAATGGCAGAGCTGCAGTTGGTTCCCTCCACTGACCATCCCTACACCGTCTCGTTTCCTGTTGCTCTTGGAGTTCAACTCCTTCCTCTCCCAAGAAGGCCTGAACACCAAGGGCAATGAAAAACATTAAGAACASCACATGGTGAGTGCCCCACTCTTAAGTGTTGCACAGGGCACAGAGCAGATCACAACTGCCAGGACAAGAAGTTTCAGGTAAGACCTCTTTCCTAGCTCATTCCTCCATTCAGGGAGGAATCTAATTAGTACATGCATCTTTAGAAAACACATCTACAAAAATAATAAGCTGTATAGCATGACTGGTGCATRAGGCTTTTCAGAAACTTCTGAATCAGCCAAATGTAGATGGTTCCCTTCCTCCCCCACAACGTATCAAAATGCTCCATACATGACACAGGCAAAACTGCTAAGTTTCACATCACTGTTTCAAAAGACACGAAAGGAAAGCTTCAGGGAGGCAGTCYMTTTGACTCAAACAATGTATTTCCTYTCAAATGTTATTTCTTGCAAAYGGCTGACTTTCCTGRGGATGTTTCAAAAATCTGCCAGCACACAGCAGATGCCTTAATGGAAATTTGCCCTGTGCTGTTAAAAGACAATATAGTACAGAAAAAAATGTGGAAATAAGGTCTTCTGAGGCAGGGGGGCAATCTGAGCCACTGTCCACAAACCGAGAGCTACCTGTAACTCTCCTGCTGTGGCACCTTAAAGAAAATGACAGCCACCAAAAAGCATGCCCAGGGGTGCAGCTGACAGTTTGACATCTTTCACCGGCATCMTTCAAACTTCAGTTTCATTCCCAGCATCACTGTTCTCCCCACGGGATAACAGCAGGTTTGCTCTCTACGCTGTTACAGGCTACAGCACACTGCAACAATCTTAGTTCCAGCCCAGCCAGGCAGGGTCCTCACTGCTCTCAGCAGGTCCTGGGGAAATGCTACACCCAACTCTGCCTCACGCCTGAGTCCCTAAATTTACATCAGCAATGGCAACAGTCTGTCCATGACTACTCCTGCYATGAAACAGTGAACAGGTAAGGTGCTGTCAATAAGCACCCTCAGGCTAATTTAACCTCACAGCATCACGAAATTCTGCACTTCTGGGACCACCCAGCAATAGCTTTGTTGCTGTTTATGGCATTTTTCCCTCTTACAACAGTAACTGAACACATTCAGCTCAGTCTTTGTATAACTGACATGTAGCTGGTAAGTAATGACCAAATGAAAATCTCCACACTCAAAGTGCTGCAGGGTGAAGCTGTCAGCATTTATGCAACTTCTTATTAGCAAACCAYTCCCAGTGCACGAACAGCACCTCTGCCTGCAACTGGAGAAAATCTACCACAGCAATACAAAATACAGGATGCCACTGCCAGATCAAGACAGGAAAGAGATACCTCAGTACTCTTTGCAAGGTAAAGGTGTAGTTAATATATACCCTCTTCTCAAGATAGTTACAAAGCATCTAAGAGCTTCAATAGTAGAATCTAACTCCCTTTTCAACAGTCCCCCTCAAAAGCAGCCTTCACATCAGTATTGTACTGCTGGAAGACTTTCCTGGTGATTTTCATAACCTTCATTACAATTTACAAGTTCTCAGACATTGCAAAACTGAAAAGTCCTGGCTAAGAATAMATCTCTGATATAAACCAGAGCTTATTCGAGCTTGACAAAAGAACTAAAAATCGCCACAGCTTTTGCTCTCTCAGAACCTAAGCAACTAAGGCGGTACATTTAGGCAACATCAAAAAGGTGCCAGTCTCATGGCATCTCTCTCCATTGCTCTTTGCTACCTTCTTACCTAACCTTGTATCTGTAGCTCTCATGAAAACGGCTCCCCTTCCACGTGGAAGCGGCACCTACTCAAAATGAAGTCCTTCTGTGAATATTTAAGTGAGTCTTCTTGACTTGGGCAAGTTGCTAGCTAAGAACCAACACCAAGTCTCCCAGCTACCTGCCCCAACTACAGAACTGCCTTCTGCCCATGAAACACCCTGGTGCTCCCAAGACAAAACGTAACAACTGAATGCATTTCAAACATGGTAACACCTCCTCTGCAGAATAAACAAAACTCAGTTCCTGTCAGATCTACTGCTACTGTCTTGCCTGAAAAGCTGTAGCCATGATCTCCACACTTTTTTGAAAAATTTAGACCAAACTAAGTAATTTCAGAAATTTTTAGACTTTCAAAAAGCAAAATGTGCTAACAAGAAACAACTTCTCTCAAAAAGCACTACCAAGTCCCTGCTTCTTTTAATAACTCCTTTAAATAAATGCCATACTTCTACCCTATTAGTTTGAAGCAACATTCCAGGAATAGGTATCAAATACATTTTAATCCAGTAAGTTGTGTAGGATTTCCTTWGTCATACAATAAATTTATCCTCAAYATTCTTTYACAGCAAGGATGTATTATTAACCTTCTCACTGAACAAACAAAAGATAGTGGCAGATCAAGATACCYGTGGACAGCCCTACCCAAGCTTTGCTGCACTGGGAACACAGGAATTCTGACTCAAYCCAGTTTCAAAGCAACCAATGTTTCTCTTAAAACATGACCTTCATCATCTCCTAGGAGAGTTGCATGTTACAGACAGCAATTTGAGAGTCACAGCCAATGCATCTAGAAACTTGTTTCGTGCATTACTCCATGCCCAAAAAATCCACTGGTGGATTAAAAAACTTTCAAAACAATGGCACATGTGGAACTGTTTTAAATGGTATTACTCCCTCTGCTTCCCTCACACTTTGCAAGTCTCTCCTAATGGATTTTAAAAACCCCTCAAAGAAATCCTCAGTGCGGTCTTCAGCTCCCAGCCCTCAGGAATGTTCCTGCCCACTCAGCACACAGCCCAGCGCAGAACTCTGCACACACGAGGAGAAGCAGTGTTACAGACACACTCAAGACAGACATGGAAAGGACCAAACCACACCATCATGTCCGTTTTTCTAAAAGGTCCATAAAGATGTCAGATTTTGTGTATCCAACTTGCTGCACTGCTCCTTGGCAGTGGCAGAAACTCCTTCAATCTGGCAGAGCYGGTGTTCCAATAGATGACATATTTACCCTGCAGCCTCTTTGATTAATTTTGAATTCAACCCAAATAGGAGCTACACGGATGTGTTCAGTTAAGAAAAGGAGGAAGGAATGAAGGGGAAAGTAGTCCATTTTCACTGCAACACATTGCTCACTTTAAGCAGCATACCATCTGGGCTGAATTAAAAAAAATGGACTCATGTTTCACTCTGAAGGGGACTGAGTAAGGAAAATCAATCTGTTTTAGCAGCCACTTCCAAAAATCTTGGTATCTAAATATCTAATATTCCCAGAAAAAGAATCAGGCAAAAATAAATCAAAGGACAAGTCATACYAAGCAAGCACTTCACACTGTATTAAGAAAGCAAGTCGTGGATATGCTTCACAAAACCACCTTTACCTGAAAGCACTCCAGAGAATTGTGCACATTACAGAACAGATAATTACTGATAACACAGCCCTGTATCAGAAARTCTAATCAGGAAGAACAGGCAATCAGTCTGGCCAAGGAGGATATGAGGAAGACACTTATGTGTTCAACGCCCTCATGAACAATGCCAGTAATTTCGGCCTCTTGGCAAAAAGGATCTTACACCAAGGATKAAGCATTAATTCTTCACTGCCAAACCTTTGGCACATTTTTTGTAGGAAATGTGGGATCTTCACTGGATACTTTCAATGGATTGCTGCTTAAAGCTTTTCATATGTGAAGACAATTATTTTGATCAGGCTGGTATGTAGCTGCAAGGCTGAAGGGTTACTAATGATACTTTCTTGTCACGCCATGCACATATTATACTCCATACTAATTTTTAATTTTTGCTCAAACCCTTGCC